AACTCAGCGCTATTCCCGATGATGAGAGCTACTCCGAGGACCTGTTTTCCACTTCCGAAGAGACCATTGATTGGTGCTCTGCTGCTACTCAGACCCCTTCAATGTCATCCATGCTCACTTCGAGCCTTGGCCTTTCAATGAAGTCTCTGGCCATTGACCCGCAGAAGCGCCGATCCAAGGTATCACCGGCGGCAGGATCGTTACCCATTCAAATGACTAAGCCCCCCATGCTCTCTCTTGCTACCGTCTTTGGCAACCGAGACACTGTTTCTAAGAGCTGGAGTGACATGTGGGACGAAGACGAGGAAGAAGAGGAGCAGGAGCGTGTCAGGCAAGTGCAGGCACTGAAGGAGCTGAATTCGCGAACCTGGAGCCATGAGAGCAAGGGTGAGACGATGAAGGCTGAGGAGGAACACGCAATTGGCCCTCTTGGCATCCAGGGCAACATTGACGACGACGATTTGGCTGACGGCTTCTTCTTCCAAGAGGCACCAGCTGTTCAGCGTCATGTCCCTGAAATGCCACGTTATTCCCCTCCTTCGAAGCGAAGTGCTCTCGACAAATGGGCAGCTTTGGGTGAACGACGACGTGGACAGAATGCTACATACAACATCAAGCAGGAAAAGGTGCAAGACATGAAGACACCTCGGTATTTTGGATTTGGAATTAAGTCTTATGAAGCGGGCGTTTTGGAACAACATAATTATCATCATCAACACAATAACAAACAACAACAACCACAATCACATTCGGGGAAGGAGCGGATCAAGGAATGCCCTTGGAACAAGGGCCGAGATTGGAACTGGCGTCGCGATCGACGTACCGATCTTGGAGATGTTGAGTGGGTTGGCGGTTGGTAAGGGGATAGCATGCTATTCTCTCCAATCTTCCAATCATGGCTGAAGGTTATATACTCATGTCAAGTGGATCGTGCCCGTTGGCATAGGTCTTCATGAGTCTAGATCCGTCAGTTTACTCTCTGCGTATTAGAATAGTTCTTAAATGCTCTAGATAACAATACGAGAAGTTACCCACTCAAAAAAACTGTAATCAATCACTGTGATACTGGACCAGACTTGACTTGACCGATAATTAAATGCTATTTGTATTTTGTTTGAGTCATGTTCGTTCGACTCTGGTCTTGATTTACACATTCATATGCTGACTATAGAACATCGTCATTGATGTGTGCTTGCTGTACGTGACCTCAATGTTTATAAGAGAAGTCAAAAAGTGGCATATCACTGGCCGCAATGAATATTGCTATGCTATACTATGCAATGTACTTCTAGAAACAGGGAAAGCCAAGTCGCTCATCAATGCATAAAAAAAAACACAAATGGCCAGACCAAAAAACCTGGCCAAGCCTACAGCTGACTGCCACCATGACAGCACAACAAGTTTCTCAATGACCAGCAGCTAACGCGACATATAGCCATAGATGGCTTGTGTGCAATAATGCGTTCGGGGGGCAAAAACGGTGTTTGACGGTTTGTGCCCGCAATAGTCAGGTGAGTGTTACGCCCCAATCAGATCCTTAGGCAAAAACGTCCAAACTGTCCCAACCGAGCCGAAAATGGAGAAAACGATGAGAAGCGAGAACAATACGAGTCGCTCCGAAGACGACGTTTCTTGCCAGTACAACTTCAGATAGAAGGATATCGGGAGTATAATGGAGATAACCGTGCAGAGCGCTGCGCCGAGGAAAGCACACACCGAGTCAAATGCGGGGAAGACAATTGAGATGAAGAGCAAAATGATGACCACGCTGACACGGATGACACCGCGGATTCCGCTTTTTACCAGCTCTCCGCGGTGGTTGCTCGTGCTGTCTTGGTGTTCGTGATGATGGTGATGGTGATGCTCATGTACGCCACAGAGCACGTCTGCAGTGGTGACTAGAGGCCGGGCGTTGAGGGGGATCTTGGTAAGTGGAATAATAGCAACGAAAATGCACATGGTAACAGCTAGGGCCTTGGGATAGCCCTCGCTCTTCAGAATGTTGGACGTAATGGCATCAGTGATGCCATCACCAAACATGAGGATGCCAATTACGCCAAGACACATATCCAAGGCGTACTGTTAGCACAAGATCCAGATACGAATGTCAGTAAACGGACTCCATAAAAGTGCAAGGATTGTTTCCCAGGGCTTCACTGACAGAAAAAGAAAATGTGACCTTGACGGCCTTGCCCCATTTGGCGGGGTGGCGCATGTCCCTATAGATCTAAAAGAGGAAGAATATGGCCCACGTAAGTAGATGTTCATCTCGGTAACCTTAGAATAGCTCTCGCCAAATATGGCCCAACTTACCGAGGGGAAAATAGAATGGGCACCCCAAGGACTGGCCATCAGACCATACGCCAGGGGTAACGCAAGCCAGTTTGACGGCAGTAGGTATGTAGCGGCTGGGTCTCGTAAAGACCCGGGAGTCTCCGTCTTAACCAGGCCGTCTACTATAACGATGCAGACAACTGTACCAGAAAGCAGTTAGCATCCATCTTCACGTGCTACATCCACAGAGACACGAGTTCAGTTCGGTAGGGGGCATCTCTTACTTCCAAAGGTGGAGAAGATGCCAATAATGCTCGTGTAACTCAAGAAGCGCAAGGGGAGCGCATTCAGCACCAAGACGAGGACTGCACAAAGACACTTCCAATTGTTGACGGTCGCCAACCCAGGTAACAGCAGATCGAGAGAGTCAGCGAACAAGATCATCAAAGCCACACAGGCAGCAACGAGCTCCAGGGAGAACATGACTGATACAACCATGCGTGCTCGGGTGCCAAACGACACAAATGCTAGGTCCGAGTAGGTGATGAGGCTGGGATCATAGTCCATACACTTTGCTAGTAGCTTGCCGGTGTAACCCGTCACACATGCACATAGAGTCATGAGTGCGAGTCCGAAAATCCAGCCGCTAAGTTTGAAGGCCAGTGGTAAACTAAGGATACCCACCCCAATGATGGCGTTGATGGAGTTGAAAACCGACTGGGGAAGCGTGCTCTGGCCTTCGACAGCAAGTACAACGTGGGATCCCTGTTTAACCTCTTTGACGAGGATCGGTTCATGCTCACCATGAGCGGCGTCCTCATCGTCCTCTTCTTCCACCCAGCCTGCTGCAGGGTCAAGCGAAAGTCGCCGCGGTTGCAATGATTCTCTACCAATAGTCCCATACATAGAGCTGCGATAAGAATCATAGCTCCCGATAATGGACGAGGTTGACAGATATGGAGGGTTGCCAAATATGCTGGATCGGCCAGACGGCGAGGAGCCGAGCAATGCGCCGCTGGCCATCTCGGTATCAAGAGGCTTTCCCTCTCGAGACCTGAAGTCCTCTCGGGAGTGTTCGAGCGCGGCAGAAGGACTCAAGTGGTTTTCCCCACCCTCTCTTAAGGCATTGGATGATGAGGCGTCACCTGCCGAGTGCTCTTGGTACGAGGCTTCGAGGTGCTGCCGTAATAAGCCGGTGGTAGGGCGGGCTTCGCGATCCTCGACATGACTCCTTCCATATTGAATATCGTCAGAGTCGGCATCCTCAATTGCGGTGCCATCACCCGCGTATATGAAACTAGGTCGGCGGGGAATGACTTCGGGAAATCCAGCTGCGCGCTGCCAGCTACGAGCAAAGGATCGAAAACTGTTCACACCACCAATGTCGGCCACAGCAGCAAGTCGGTTCGAAAACGAGCCACTGGGGTGCTAGGTTAGCCTGGAAAGGTTCAAGAGCGCGGGAATTGGAGAAGTTCGTACCGTCGGTGCTCATCATGGTTGTCATCGTCCAACAGGCCATGCAGCTCGGAGTGCAAACCACTGGACGCAGCGCTGCCAGACGGCGAGGGCCGTCCATCGTATTCGTCCCATGTCGCGGGATTCTTGATATTGGAAACCATCACTCTATCCTTCCTCAGCGCGCGACCGAGAGACGCGTTTCCTTAGCCCAAGGAGAGAGTGCAGGGCCAATTCAGCGTCGAGCAAATGCAGAGAAGACGAGCAGCTTCGGAGCTTGCCCGGCATAATAGATAAGAACGCCACCCGAGGTCACGAGAGTCGAGGCACAAGGGTCGACCTAGTATGCAGTATCGATCGACCTTGCCAGTAGGATGAGGAGCCGGTGGATAACCCGATTGCAGACTGGGAGGGGGAAAGGAGCGGGGGCAAGATAAGGGCTATAATTCAGCACAGACCCAAATTCATGGTTTCGACAGTGGTGTTGAAAGGCAGGCTCCTCAAATCCATGCCGCCATTGCCATGGTAAATATGAATATAGCCTAAGGGCTGGCCAGGACAGAACGTTGGCGTGAACTGCCGTCCTTGGGCAGGCCTGTCTCTGGATGGGCGATGGCGGGTGGATAAGTATGATGCACTTAGTGCTCGATATTACCAAGTTTGTCAATATTAAGGTATGATTATCTGGGCCCATCCAGCATCATCATACATTAGGTAGGCAGTACACACGCATGCGAGGAGCTTGGCAGCGCTGCGTGCAGGTGGGGCGCAGGCAGTCCAAGTGTGACCTGCTTCTCTGGTGCACTAATGTGAGTGCTCTACAAGTGGTCGATGGCGGTGTCGTTCGCATCGACGTGGTGTTTGTCTCGTGTAGCTGTCTTTCAGCCCGGATGCCATCTCACCATTATGCTATTTTCCATCAGAAGCTATAACTCGCCCATACTCTTTGTCGCTCTTACCTACCTACCCAGTCAACGTCCTCTACAATGGCCTCCTGAGAGCCAATGTTCCTTCCAAGTTTGTCTCCCAGCAACCCACCCAATGCCATTCATCATGAGTAAGCAAAGCACCCACCTAACCTAGATTAGGCCAAGCACCATTAGTCCCGAAGGTGGGTGCAGCTTATCACCGCCCTGAGATATCCACCAACGTCCATCTGGCAGAAAATCCCACCCACCTTTTTCCAAGTGCCGATGAATACCGATATCTAGGCCTAGCATCCTACTCTCGCGTCCTATTTTCGCTCCCGCCATGATAATCCGACCTCCAGTATGAACCTTTCGTCGCTGGCCGTCGCAAAGACGACACCGACCGGCGAATCCATCCCCGACACCGTCGCCCACCTGCGCGCTCTTCTCGACGCCTTCAACCACCGACACAAGAACCAGCATCACTCCTCCCACTGGTGGTCGCACTTCTCGCGCCTCCGGCGCAGTCTCTGCTCGCTCCTGGACAAGGACGGGAACCCTTCTTTTGCGCATGCGCGATGGCTCCAATCTCATGTCCTGCCCCGATCATACAAGTAAGTATCCCTCTGTCAGGATGCCTTCCCAGATCTTATTCGTCTCCCCAACATGATTCCATCTCTCGTGAATAATACTCCCCACCCCGATGCTGTCTTTCCGAGAGAATTACGTCCTCATTCTGTTTAGGGCATTCTCCCAGCTAGCTGCCGATAATCAACATGCCCCCCTGGGTCTCCTCCTCCTCACAGTTCTCGCTCGCGTCCATGCCCTCTTGACGTATATCCTCCCTGCAGAGGAACAGGCCCCTCCCGCCTTCAGTTCCACCCAGCAAGCCCTGCCCAGAGTTACGCCAGAATATGGATCAAAGGTGGACAAGGGAATCGCTGTAGCGCGCGATTCTAGGGAGAACACAAGAGCTGAATCATTGACGGCCTCGTCTAAGTCGTTGGGCAAGCCCATTCGCCCAAAGTCGGCGGCAGAGGAGAAGAAGAGCAATAAAAAGAGTAAAAAGAAGAAGAAAGACGAGCTATCTAGCCTTTTTGGCTCCTTGACGTAGGTATAAAGATATCAATTACACATAATAATAGCCAACTTGCCCATTTCCATCGCAGCTATACTGTTTTTCAATTTCTAACTAAAATCGAGAGCGTATGACAAAGATAAAAATCAGGCAAGGCGATTTTGTCAGCAACTTTCAAATTTGCTTCTTTTGCCTGTGACCCCAATCCCATCACTCAAAAAGACATAATCGTTATTCACTAGCTCTCCCATTCATGCGCCCATATTGAGAAAATCTGCTTCCTTTGCAGATGAGCAAAAGGCTTGACCTCCATCCGCATAAGCTGATCCAGCTAAACCAATTGCTCCATACATTCCAAATCCAAGTGCCACAGAGTAAGCAATATTACAAGACAGAGATGACGCCACAGTCAGTCTCAAACAAAGACTCAGTTTTGCCGGTCAAACGGCTTGTCCTTGCTCAGTTGTGAAGTGGACGGTAGGACCAGATACGTGCCTTCATATCACCGGAACCAGTAGCAAAGAAGCCGCCCGAGGGGCTGGGTGCCACAGAGATGACCGAGTTCTTGTGGCCTTGGAGCATGAGCTGTGTTGTTCCTGTGCGGGGATCCCAGAACTGAACACCGCGATCCTTGGATCCAGACAGCACCCAGTTGTTGTCAGGAGTGAGCGCGACAGACAGGACAAAGTCACGGTGACCTTCGAAGGTCTTGACGCACTTGCCACTTCGGGCGCCACCACCGCCGCGCGGTGCGCTCAGCTCCCACATCTTGATTGTCCTGTCCAAACTGCCGCTCACAAGCTCTTTGCCACTTGGTGAGAAAGCAACAGAGTACACGGAGTCCTTGTGTCCGTCTGGGCCTTCCAGACGCTCAACAAGCACAGCATCTGGGATGCTCCATACCCTGACACTCTTGTCAAGAGATCCCGCCGCAACATACTGGGTATCCGGCGAAATCGCAACAGTGGTGACTCCGTCCTCTATGGTCAAGGTGAGAGTATTCTGACCTTGCTCGATGTCCCACAGACGAACTGTTCGGTCACCACTTCCAGAAGCAATAGTGCGGCCATCTCTTGCGAAATCCAGAGAGTAAATATCTTGTTCGTGACCGCTGAACTGGTTGCGAATCGTCCTGTTCTGGATGTCCCAGACCTAATTCTGTGTCAGTAATGTGCAAGCAAACAAAGCGCTCAAACCAACTTACTCGAATCATCTTATCCTCAGCACCAGTCGCAAGATAGCGACCATCCGGACTGAAGCAAACGCTACGAATGTATAAATCGGTACCACCCATTGGGTCCATGGCAGTGTGATCCTCCAAAACGCAAACCTTTTCACCAGTCGCAACATCGTAAATTTGAGCCGACCTGTTGCAACCAGTCGCAACATATTTACCGTCGTGGCTGAACCTCACGCAACAAACAACGCTATCGTGTGTGAGAGAATGGACCAGATCCACATCGAGAACTCGCTGGACTTGTGGGTTGAAAATAGCGTGCCAGTCGGCTCCGTTCTTCTTATTGTGAGGGGGAACTGCATCAAGCTCCAGCTCACCAAGAGCATTACCAACAGATGGAGGAGGTCTTGGCCCACCAATGCGATGTTCGGGGGTGGGATGGCTGATCTGGGGAGACTGCGCGCTGCCAGGGTATGGAACGGGAGTATTAACCTGTGGTGTCGCGGGGCCTCCAACTGAGTTCGGAGGTCGCCCAATCCCCCGGCCTCGAGGTCCAGGAGACGCGGTGCTCTGGGTTGGCTGGGGGCCGCCCATTCCGTTGGAAACCGGGCCAGGAGGATACTGAGGATAAGGACCCTGCTGAGGCTGTGGGGGTTGAGCAGAAGAGTGTGGAGGGGGGACGGGGAGGCCTGGAGGGCCTTGGCCCATCTGGTGCTGAGGCCCAAGTTGCTCATGAGGGGGGCCATGCTGCGGCTGTTGCTGCTGCTGCTGAGGTTGTTGCGGTTGGGGAGGGGCGAGTCCAGCTTGGTTGCCGCCAGCCATGACGCCGCTGAATAGACCGTTTCCTGGTGCGATTGAAGGAGGCTGTTGGGAAGGGCCACCATGTTGAGGAGGACCTGGAAGAGGCTGGCCGGCACCGGCCTTGCCTCGGGTCGCCTCCGCGAGCTGGTGTCGGAGCATGGTAAGCTCCTCCTCATACCTATAGGAGTGTCAGTCTATCAGAAAGTTGCAAAGGAATCAGTCGTCATCAAAGCTCACTTTTGTTTCAAAGTCATGTGCGTCTGTTCCATCGCGTAAACCTTTTCTCTGACGAGCTGCATCTCGCTCACTTGAGCACTGACTATCAAGTGCGAGTTAGTGGATGGGTCGATTCTACAATCCTGTGCGATGCGGAAAGCTTACTCTGATGCTCAAATCCCTCGGTCTGGCGCAACTGACTGTCAAATTCGGACCTGATCTGATCGAGAAGCTCGTTAAGACGAGCGGAATTGCTGGGGGGCACGGCCCCCATGCCGCGATGGCTGTACATGGACATGAGTGCAAGCTATGTGCTCAAGGGCGTTGATGGTTGAAAAGACGCCAGCAGAAAAACACGTGTCGTGTCGGCACTCAAAGTCGATGATGGGAAGAGCAGCAAGCACGCGTAGTGGGTCGACGGCCGTTGGCGTTGAGGCGTGAGCGACACGGGATGACTATGTGCGCCAAAGCGATATCAGCTCAAAGTCAACTAAAGAAGACACGGGCGCCGGCGAGAAAGTCGCCGGTTGACCGTCGAGTCTTGCGAAAGCTAGGTAAACTTGTACGATCGACGAGGAGGAGGCTATCGACGGTGGGGGTCGGGCGTGACGAATGGGCTCAACTTATGGATGGGAAGGGGGAAAGGAGGAAAAAAAGATGATGGCGGCGAGGCGCTGGGCTGGGAGTGATGGATGGGATAGTGGAGCAGAGGAAGCGAGCCCGATTGCATGCACCTTCTTTGCTGTGGGCCGGTGTGATGTGTGTGAAACCCAAAGTTCCGGCAGGACGCAGGGTACCTACGGCATCAGGAAAGCTACATTGTGGGCTGCGAAAAGAGACCAGGGTTAAACGCCCGAGGCCAGGGGCATGGCTGCTGACTAGCCGCTCTCTCGCCCATTCCCGCGGGCGTGCAGCGCTATGTGGGCGCTTTCCAGAAGGGCTAAGCTGAGAGTTGCCACGGCGGCTGGTGGTGGGGCGCTTGCATTGCAGAACCTCATCAAGTAGCTGCACGGGTGCAGCAGGTATCTGATGGGGAAGAGACTACATGTGGGTGGGCCGACCCTGGACTCTCCCGTGGCCTGTGCGTTTCTAAGGCACTAAGGTAGCTCGACCTGCACCTTGTGCCCATCCTGGCTCCTGCTGCTGAAAGTGCACCTCCATATCCTCAGCTCTGCCATGACTACGTCGGCGTCCATTGGTAGGCAAGCTGGCCATGGCAGAACACAAGGTGGGATCCGCTGGTCGGAAGCTTACTGCAGCTCCTCAGAGGTCAGCCAGTCAATGCTGAGCCCGGTGCAGGTTCTGTTAACCCCGTCCACACCATGGAACTTCTCGACCTCCCAACAGAGATTACCTGGGCGGCAACAGAGGCGCCCAGATATTGCAAGGTATTCTTTCCTGAGCACCGTCCGAGTAGGCTCCGGCGTAGCTGCCAGGCGTGCCCTGGGCAGGCCTGTAATACCGAGTCATAGGAGCGGCACTATTGTGAACAGGATTGGCGGTTCGTGTAGCTATGACCACGACACTCGGTCCGCAGTATTATTCCAACGCCAAGTGGTACGGGAGCGAACAAATAACACTACGATAGTACCATGGCGCACCACCAGGCAATTACCGGGTGGTCCTCCCAGCATCCTCTTCGGCAGCGCCACCCCTCCCTGCCTTACACACCTCCTGCCTCTGAGAAGCTGCGCCGGTTTTTATTGCCTCGCCCCTTGTCGCACACACCCTGTCAGGATGTCGCGCACACCACACCACCACTCGCGCTCTTTCCCCAGCCAGCCCACCCCCCACTTACACAAATCTGAGAATCTTACACCTATAATAGAGCAGATTGCCAAGCACCACAACTGCGTCGTGCTCAAGTTGTCGAGTGGCCTGCTTCCGACCTTCCAACACCACCTCTCCGAAATGTGGCATGCACACTCTGCCTAACCAATGCCCCGCCCTCGATTAACTTGGCTCGAGTCACGCACTACCGCCAGTAACAGATCGGTTTTTTAATTTATACTTTCCGGTGTCGTGATTCCGAGCAAGCTAGCCTTAAATATAACCGGCGTTAGCTGCGTACGCAAATTTGCTTCGAAGTGCAATTGTTATGTTATGACGAGTCAATTTCGTTGGTCACGCGTCCCATTGCGGATCATTAGTGGTAATTCAATTGTATCTTGATGGCAGGATAACTCGATATGAGCTAGGTGCATGTACGGGCCTAGACTGGTCACCACCGAGGATGGCTGATTCAGACCATTCAACCCGAGGCAATTCCCCACCGACTACAACCTAAAACAGTCTCGGGGAGGAAACAAAAAAGCAATTATTACATACATCTTTCTCTGCACGCTGCCGTCTCTTTTCTTGTGTGGTGCCAGTGCTTTAGCTGTCGCCATCTCGCCCATATTGCCTCTTTCCCGGGTCTTGTTTACAGAGCATCCGCACATTCAGAGAAACACGGGGCTTAGCGCATATCCCCTCTATGCAACAACACCCACGCACGTTGCTGGGGCTGATCCTTAGCTTGTACTAGTCGAGGACATGGTGGGGCGGGAACAACTGGGGTTTTTTATAGCATCCAGGGTTGCCTTGAGTGTCAAGACGAGACGTGCCGCCTACTATCAGAGATAGTGGTCTTGAATGTCCTTCCCGGCGCTCTATCAGCTTCTAATACTGGCTCAGGTTAATCTCCGCCCCAGTTACTATATCGTCGTCCCCAGAGTGGATATGGGCGGTGTGATTATTGGTTCAGCCCCAAAGCACTACTCGGTCACGCCTGCCTGCACGATGATCTCACAATAATGTGCAATTACAGCACATGCTGACATGGCACATAAGACACCGACAGACAAAAGATCAAGGAAAGGGAATATGGGCAATACCCCCATACGGGAAGCTTATGAGGGCCGTGCCAGAGCAGTCTAATGAAGAGAGGACGAGTATAGGGTAGCAGGACATCACTCGAGTGACAGGCATGTTAGGCAAATGCTAACATTAGCAAGGTAAAACCTTGTGGTCGAGTATTTATTTAGTGATAGTATAAATAACATACGATATCGATAGAGATATTCAACGAGGAGGCTAAGATTCGGGCTTGCGGCAAAATGACAATGCTCATTCGTACGAATCTAACACCTATTACTCGTGAGCCACACTAACCAGGATGTGGCGCAGTTCTCCAGCCTCACTTGCGTAATAAAAGTAGCGCCAGTTGGGCATCCATCAGTAATCTGGTCGACACGTGAATAGGTAACTCGATCAAGCGAGCCGAAACCTCTTCTTCACTACCTTCCTCACACTCGACTCTACTCGACCAAGTCCCACGAGCGACACGTCCTAACCACAGCTTTTGCACACGGCTGTCCTACCTCGAAGCTAGAAGGAGCTGGTCGCGTAGCGGCGTAGTGCATTTGCCGACGACCACGGTGGTCCCCACTCGAGCTTCTCCAACTGCCAGGCTAGGTCACGGCCATGATGCGCAGCGCCTTCTTTTGCCCCAAGCCTATCCAACAACGACACCTCGAGAGTACAACGGGATACTACTAAGCAAACACACTCCTCGGCCCGGAGCATGGCCTGTTAGTTTTACAAAGCACACACAGAATGGCTCAAACACACATGCAATTAGAAGACTGTGGGTTTAAGGAATGATCCCTGCTGAGTCGCGCAGCCTTAACTGACAACTCGCTGCAGGGCTGGATGACCTATGCGTCCGGTTCATAATCAACCTACCAGAAGAGGACTTGTCCTCGGTAGCTCGGATATGTTTCCAAGTCGAAGAGGCCCAGTGGTTCTACGAGGATTTCATCCGACCACTGGACCCCAATCTCCCGTCGATGACTCTGCGAACCTTTAGTCTCCGCATATTCCAACATTGCCCTTTACTCGCCTCCTTCTCAACCGAAAACCACATACAAGCCTTCGAAGAGTTTCTCGAGTACAAGACTCGCGTGCCTGTGCGCGGAGCGATCTTGTTGAACCATGAAATGGACTCTACGGTACTCGTGAAGGGGTGGAAGAAGGGCGCAAACTGGAGCTTTCCCCGCGGCAAGATCAACAAGGATGAAGATGACTTGGACTGTGCGATTCGCGAGGTATGGGAAGAGACAGGACTGGACCTCCGAGAAGCTGGACTTGTACCCGCCGAAAAGCCCAAATACATCGAGATTACGATGAGAGAGCAACAGATGCGTCTCTACGTCTTTCGCGACGTGCCTATGGATACGGTGTTTCAGCCTCAGACCAGAAAAGAGATCAGCAAGATCGAGTGGTATAGGCTATCGGAGCTCCCAGCGTTCCGCAAAAAGAAGACGAATGGTCAAGACGCCGGCGCAGGACCGAGTGCGAACAAGTTCTACATGGTTGCCCCGTTCCTCGTCCCTTTGAAAAAATGGGTTGGCTCACAGAAGAAGCTGGAGTCAAGGAAGTTCTCGCATTCGGCCGGAAATACTGGCCTACATCCCCACCATGCCCTCGACGAGGTGTATACTGAGGATGATACTTGGCCTCAACCCGCCCCTGAAGGAGTTTTGCAAACCCATAATAGTCTGGAGGATGCCACCCACGAACTGCAACGCCTTCTCAAAGTGCAGCCTCCTACGCAAGGTCTTCAGGCTGCATCTGTAACTGAAGATAAAGCTAGCGCGCTCCTCTCAATGCTCCAAGCTGGAGGATCTAATCCTGCGACTTCGTCTAGGCCGGGTAGTATGCTGCCGCACACACCCATGAACGCTGGCCCGGAACCCGTTCCTCAACCACGCAACCCGCATCACCATACCAATCAACACCATACTGCTTTCCAACCAGTCGAGCCACCTCCCCCATTCCCTCTCAATCAACACCACCAGGGATCTCACTGGAATACTCCGCAGAACCTGTACCAGCAGCCCTCTTTCGGAAACGCCCAAGCCTCCCTTGTCCACCCACAACCTTTGCCACCCCAGGTGCAGCGGGCTGTGTTTGATAGGGCAGGGTACCAGGAAAACCAACCGCCTCTACATAACAATCTTCCGCAGGCACAACAAGAGCAAGGCTACACAGTGTCGAGGCAATCATCGTTGAACTTACCAGCGGAATCCGGGAAAACTGCCCATTTGGATGGTCAATCGATGGCCCTCCTCAACGCGTTTAAGCAAGGAGACCCTGCTCCAGCACCAGCTGAGCAGTTCCTACCAAAACAAAAACCTTTTGATTCCCACGTTCACCCTGGCCAGCCCCCCTACCACCATCAACAACCGGTTTCACATGGGCTGTCCTTCCCTTCAGAACTTGCGGCCTCGTCCCACAGCTCCTCACAACATATTCCAGCAGCCAAACCCCCCATAGAACCGCATCGCTCAGCCTTGCTGGGCATGTTCAAGAATCCGGCTCCGGAGTCAACTACGAATATGGCTCCGAGACCTTTCCAAGATTCCCCCCTCTCTGGGCCAAGGCCTCAGGGAGCTGCGACCGGGATAGAGAAGCAGCTATTAGATGCGTTTCGGGGGATACCTCCGGGACCTGAATTGCCGGCTAAACCAGCACACCCAATTCATAGCCAACCTGCAAATCCAAGTACCGCCCTCTCTGATTTCTTGGCTTCTAAGCCTCGAACGCAACAGAACTTCCGCCCTAGAAAATCGACAAATGAAAATATGCCAATCCCTACCCGAAGCAGCACAGCGGCCTCGGCAAATGCGCCCTCACAACCTATCCGTATCCTCCAAAGGGGCCAAGGAGACCCATTCCACTTCTCCGGTCACTCTGAACGAACCGTCCCGAACTCGCCATACTCCAATCAAGCTCTGCCCGGGACGGTTGAGTTGTCTACCTCCGCCGATAGATCTTCCGTTGTGTCGCCGGGTGCAGGCACTCGACGGGCCGAGGTCTCCCAGGACCAGAAGAAGCAGCTATTGTCGTTATTCGGCAAGCAGCCTAACCCGAATGCTCCCGGCCACGATGCCGCCCAGGCCGAGCTGGCGGCACCTGAGCCCCCGCGGTCGCGCCTCGTGTCCCTCGCAGGTAGCGGGGTTGGCTATGGAACTGGGCCTCCTTCCAGGGGCAGTAGCCAGACCCCGATATCCCCGGCGGACCAGAGCTTTTTGTTAGATTACCTTCAGTCAGTGACCAATAACGCGTCTCGCTGACATATGACCTGCTGGGAATGATGGGCTGTTATCGTTACGTTTCTGTACTATGTACCGGGTGTTTTTATGTCCTTTCTTAATCATGTTCTTTCTATTTTCAAACTATGGAGCACCCGTTTCTACAGGAGTTATGCCGGCATGAAGCGGGTGGATAGCAAGTATCGATAGCGTGGTAAAGCCTTATATCATTATCTCTCGAATACAAAGCCACTATTGTAAAACTCTCCATGCTGTGATCAGAGGAGTGTTGATATATTTGCATTTTCAGTTATCTGGATCTCATTTTCAGATAAACCCTGGAAGAGCTAGGTTTCCCGCAACGAGTAGCATTGAATTGTAATCTTCTCGTCTTTGTGTAATATCAAGTTTACATGGCTAACCCCCAGGTCGCCTCTGTCAGAATGTTTTAGGAAGACAGCTGAAGCGATTATCAAACCAGGGAAATTCAACACTTGATATAACCAAGATCAACCTATAGAGTGATCGGCTACCAATTTTTAGGGAGGCAACAATAAAGGACATTATCTCGTCATCTCATTCAACATCTGAATATCTGTGATTCTGTGTGTGTTCAAACACGCGCGATTGCGGTAATGAACAGTCGCTAAATGATGAAGAACTTAGACTTTACTATGCCTCATCGTCGCTATGGTTTATATCGAGGAGATTGAATCGGTTTGTGGTCGTGCTTGGCCGGCGCTCCTTCACCGCAGGTTTGGGTCGACTGAGGCGTTTGAAAGGCGCCTGATCCAGAGGCTGGCAGCATTCGTCGACGTCATGCTCGATGCGCGAGCCCTTGTATTTCCTGTCAAGTCTGTATCAGGCATATGGAAATTTGAAAGATATTTCATAGAGTTGGAGTGGCTCTACACTTACAGTCGACTCATCATGCAAGTACGAGCAAAGGTGGCCGCAGTAACCGAGTTGGTGCTGATGTGACAATCTCCCCTGGCGAACTCGACTCTGAGGACAACGAGATTGTGGATGTGCTCGAGATCCTCTCGGATGCTTTTCACAGTATGGTTGAGACCGCATTTTCGAATAACAAGGTTCCGAGTCGCCCCTGAGGATATCTTACGAACGATGTGATCGGAAAGAGTGAACTGACGTTCATTCCAGGTGACATCGATCTATGTCATACACATATTAGAATTAGCATGAATCCAGCTCCTGAGAAGTCCTTTGGAATGCTCTTCGCTTACCCGCTTTTGTTTGATGTACAGATCATGCTTTCGAACGTGACTCATGAATGCTTTGGCATCAGCTTCGCGCAGGAAAGAGACGGACGCGGTATTTTCTCTATATCTGAGATAAATGTCCAGAACTTGGCCACCTCGAATCATGTTGGCGACATCCTGGTGAGTTGTTCCCTCAGCAAGATTCGACAGGCTTATCGTTCTGTTCCCTTCGCGTGGCGCTCGGCGCCCTGAGTTGACGGGATAACTCTCTGCTCTACTCCCCGTAGAGACATATGAACCAAATGAAGATTGACGGGGAGGATATTCATTTGGAGGATCAGGTTGGGAAACTACCCACTCGCCAAGCCTATTATGGTAGCCATTGGATTCGTTCTCAAGGGGCGAGGTCGGCGAGGTCGACTCGCTTTCGGGGCTTGTTTCGAAGCAATGCTCCTGTTCCAGGTTGTCTATTCCCTCCTGAGGTTGGGCCTCACTGAGAAGCTTGACCACAAGTCTTGTTAGTCTTGAACCTTGGGAAATGAGATAAGCAAACAGAGGCTAGAAATGAGAAAAAAGTTGTTCGAGATTTCAGAGATCCAAACAACCCGTGGGTGTTAGCAACGTAACGAGAGGACTTACTGCAATTGTTTCCTCGTCAGTCCCCCCAAGAATCAAATTGGCACACAGTCTGGCTATGTCGTGAGTTAATGATAGTTAGCTTATGTGGACATGTTTGTGTGTTTTGAGACATAATCATTTTCCACAAAAGTTCAACAGATTCACGAAGACATGCGGAGAGGACAAGCTTTTCAAACACAAATGGCTTCGCTCGGGAACTGACTGACCGTATCGGCGAGAAGTTCGAGTTAGCTGATTGTATTCTACAGTTGGGATCGAGACCATAAGCGGATCCCGATGTGCTTCAATGGCAGGGCGAGGGCCAGCGGACTTGGCCGCCAGATGTTAGCAACAATACTCGGCGGAAAGTACAGGACCTAATCATACAGAACTTGATAGCATGATTAGCTTGAGCCTTAATGCATGGTCAAAAACCGACGGAGTAAAGTGTGTGGAGACTTACCAACCCATTGTCATGGTGTACGGAATCCGAGAGCCCAAGAAGGGAAAGAGGATTCGCGACCGTATTGAAGGTAATGGGAATGCAAGTGGCCGAAGGTCTCAGCTCAGGCGGGAGAGCGGACCCTGTTGGAAGGCAAAGGACAGCCGCGCGAGGAAGAGTGAGGAAGGAGGAAGAAGAAAAATCAGGCATCAAGGAAGGTGTTACAAGATGCGGACTGGACGCAGCTGCCGGCCAGAGCTGCCTCTACCTGCCTCTACCTCGCAAGTACCTGAGGACCTGCAAAGGTGCAAGTGTGCGCTATTGTGCACTGGAAAGATCCCCAGGTACCGCACCAGACAGGTCGAGTTGGGGTCTGCCGCCTGCCAACCGCCTCATGTGCGCCCGCTGCCACTGCGAGTCCACCACTTGCAGGTGCAGCTTGATGCCTCCAGCTTCACGTTGGCATCACTTTTCCACTGGCTGTTGGTTCATGTGGCGCTGCGCCATGTGCCAACCATCATGCAACGGCGGCGCTTAAAAGTGAACATGGCGACCGTTTAGGCAGACGGTGGACAATATGAAGCCAATGGATGCTGTTTCGAATGTTGGCTGGACGAAATGAAGCTGCAGCGGCCGAGATGTATACATAGGTTGTTGGTACACTTCGGGACCGACCAGTGAGGGTGATGGTTTGCAAACAAGTTCATGTAACCCGGACGTTGCCTCTTGAACCCGTTGCACACGCAAAACAACTCTGTGCTCCTGTTGGCATTGCGGATAGTGTTTTGAGTTTTGCGACTCGGATGTTTGGCGTCCCACCAATCTGGGTATCACGAGCACGCAGGTGTGACTGCACGGATTTATCTTCAAGCATTCGCATATATAATTGTGTAATCATAGCTCTGACCATAAAGTTGGGAATAATGTATATAAATACCACTTTTAGCCTACATCTGTCAACTATTCGAAGCGACTTAGCGCTATACTATCTGACTACCTATCTACCAGGCTGGTGGCCTTTGCCTCAACGTTCCCAAGCCCCTCACCACATCGGTACTGGGGCCCCTGACCGGCATACCTCGAACAACGTCACATGCGGGTAACCCCGTGTTCAGGATACGAGCAGGGAGTATATTTAGGTAGATGCCAGGCGCCCAACACGAGATCACGTGCTTTGCGTTTACACATCGGTCCAGGGTGCATACCGGTCATTCCAGGCGCTTAAACTGTGTCCGTCACAGCACCACAACGCGTCCCTGAGCCCACTGGAATGAGCCTGTAATATGTAGCAGATGACGGTGCACCGCTTCTGAAATTATCGTACAGAGAGGGTGAAACGGATGAGATAGAGGTGGAAAATCCCCCATTTGCTGGTGCGCACGAGTGCCTGAGTTCTTCGTGCCTCTCGCCCCCAATTTTCCTCGGATTCCGCGCCTTGGTCGCCACAGTGTGTTGTTGCTTCGCTCAGCACCAGCATTTTTTCCTTCGTATTGGCCATCAGCGGCTTCTCACAGCCTCCCAGCTGTCTCTGCGAGCGTCCAGGCTTCGGGCCAATCGAGTAAGCGCACGAACGCGGCGCTAAACCACGGCTGGTAGCAGTTGGACAGGGGGCCTTACTCTAAACCCAAGACAATCCACAGTGTTCCACTGGCTGGTGTGTTTTGACCCTGCTGAAAAGTCCGGCGACTCCTCTCATCCGCTCCTTTCCAAGTCATCACTTTGACACAGAGGGCGATATTTGTCGACTTCAGTGAGCGTTGTTTGCCTCTTTTCCCCGTCTCTCGCTTCCTAACCTTCCGCTCGCTTTCTCAACTCGCTTTTTCCTATTCTCTCAACTCGATACCGTCCGCCCGTTACGCCGCTGCAACCCCCTTGATCGTTGACCTGCCAACACCAACACCTTCGCTCGCCATCTTTGTTTGAACCTACGTGTCCAGCCTTCCGACCATTGTTGCTTATCCCGATACCCCTCCGAGGCACGAGCAGTCGAGATCCATCCTATTTTATATAAATTTAATCAAAATGCGGCCAACCCGTAGTGTTGCCCAGTTGGCCTTGTGCCTGTATGCTATGGCTCCCTTGGCTTCCGCATGGCCGCAATGGATGCCCGAGCAAGATTCGCTCTACGTTCGTGCGGATGAATCATCTGGTACGATCCCCTCTCCTACGATATGTGTAACAACTAGTGGATGCCTACTAACACCTCGGATCAGCCGCCTCACAACCAGCTTCCGTCTCAGCTACGGCCACTGGCGACGCAGCCAAGACCACAGGGGGCTCGCTCAACACAGCCAAACCCGAAGAATCATCGGCAGAACAAACTGGATCCCAAACTGGCACCCAGACCGGTGGATCCAAGACGACGGGAGCCGGTGGTTCATCGAAGGGAACCGATTCCGCAAAGAAGACCACCTACGGCAACAGCATTTACCCCGGCGGTGTGAACATGTTGACCCCGAACCCGACGAAGACTGCGAGCGCCCTTTTCAAAATCGGAGACACCGTGACCCTTGGCTGGAACTACACAAGTGTCAAGGCGGCCCCGACTGCCATTGATGTGCTGCTTAGCTGCAAGTCCAAGTCAGCGACTTGGACCTTGACTGGAAACATGACCTACGAGACCAAGGCTGAATACATCTGGGATACCAACAAGCAGGCCAACGATGGCAGCAACCCTCTTGGAACCGACCAGTACACCCTTATCGTCAAGGATTCAGATGCTCAAATCACCGATAGCCCGCAGCCAGGATACCTCAATGCCGCCAGTGCTTTCTTCACCTTCGGAATGTACACACCCCAGGCCTACACACCTTACGCAGACTGGAAGTGCAATGCATGCAGTGGTGCCCCCCCGACTCTCGACCTGGGGGCTGTGAAACTTGCAATGACCATGTCGCTCATCACGCTCCTCAGCTTCACTTGGTTCGTTGCTGGTCTGTGACCCTATTACTTTTTAATATCATGAATACAACTTTTGTATCTGCGCTTTGGTCTGGGCGCTCTTGGAATGGTATGTGGTTGGGACGGTAAGGTATGCATATGCATTGCGTGATGGTCATATCAAAGCTTTTTGTTATTGGGAGTTGAGGGATTGATTTTTCTGGCTTTACTTACTTAATATTGGAGATTCATACGGCGAATTGCCTGGTCCAAGTTGAAAAAAATTCGGGTGGAGATAATACAGTAGTGTACGGTGGCGATACATATTCATGATCTCAAATTACTACATACAATCACATACACATAACAGTTCAATTGTGGTTGGAAGGTGATGCTATTAATACTACTTATGTGACAAGGCTTCGTCCCCAAGAACATGAATGGGAAAGAGTTGAATCTTAGACCATTCGTAATGAGAACCCTGCGCCTCTCTCTTCCCTTTCTCGTCTCTGGAATAGACCACCCAGATCAACTTCTCCAAGCGAAGCTGCTGCTTGCCCCCGAGCCGGGGCGTTGGGTTCGTGCCGCCGCCGCTTCTCCTGCCCAGCTTTGCTGGGGAACGTGGGGAACAGACTCTCGGGCTTCGGCTTGGGGTCTTGGTGGAAGTACTCATGCTGCAGCATCTCGCTGGCCGACGGGCGCCGCTCCGGGTCCAGGGCCAGGAGATCGTTCAGCAGCGAGGCGCCCGCGGATGTCAGGTTGGGGAAGCGGGCGCGGATGACGGAGCCGGTCGTCTGCGCGGACCGTGGCAGCCGCAGCGACCGGGCGTTGGGGAGCCTGCGGAAGCCCGGCCACGAGTCCTCGGTGGGCACGCCGCACAGCTCGAAGATCTTGGATATCTGGTCGACCTCGTTCTTGCCCTGCAGAAGCGGCTCGCGGGTGAGGAGCTCGCCGAATATGCAGCCCACGCTCCACATGTCCACGGCGCTGCCGTAGGTCTTTGTGCCCAGGAGCAGCTCTGGGCTCCGGTACCAGAGGGTGACGACGAGGGAGGTGAGTTTGGGAGGGGGGTCTCCCACGTAGCGAGCCATGCCGAAGTCGGCGATTTTTAGTTGGCCGCGGTTGTTGAGGAGGATATTTGAGGTCTTGAGATCCCGGTGTAGGATCCAGTGGTTGTGTAGATAGGCGACGCCGGATGTGAGTTGGAGGAGTAGTTGCTTGACTTCGGAGGAGAGGAACGGCTCGGGCATGTCGTCGAGGATCCCTTTGAGGTCGTGTTCGACGAACTCTAGGACAAGAAATATGGAACTATGAGCATTAGTTAGAGAAGAGATACGTAGAACGGTCGGTGGGCAGATTGCAATGCCACGTACTTGTCCAGTCGAGAAACATTGTCACCAACGACTACTTCGTCCATTGAGACAATGTTGCGATGCTTGCAGTCGCGCAAGATCTGTATTTCCCGGAGCCCTGTCACGGGCAGTCCGCTGCGGTCGCCAGCCTCGAGCTTCAAGCGCTTCAGCGCAACCACCTTCCCAGTGGCCAGCTCGGTGGCACGGGCGACCCAGCCGTACGTGCCCTCCTCGATGTCGTTCAGTTTGTCGTAGTGTTCGACACTCCGAGATTTGTTCCAGCCCTCTACCTCGAAGCGCAGCGGCTTTGCTGGTGGGAGATCCGGCTCCGGCGTCCGTCTTTGCCGCTTCGTGGGTCGGTCCTCGGTCGATCCTAGAGAGTGCTTCTTCCTCCTCGCTTCCTCCTCCTCCTCGGCCTTGCGAGCCTTGGCTGCTTTGCGCTGGCGTCGCTCTTCCTTTTGTCGCTTGCGCTCGGCCTCCACTGCCTCATCCTCCTGCGCGTTGGCCCATCGTGAGCGAGGATTCGACGACATGGCGATCCTCCTGTCCGCGACTCGAGAATTGAAAGATCATGTATTTTGTTGGCGTGGGCAGCTCGTCGTTGACTTTGAGCCCATCACTTCAAGTCCGAGCGCTGGGACGTGTCGCGCGTGTGTGGAGTAGACGGATGCTGATTTGGGGTAGCTAAAATAATTGTTCTTCAGTAGACGTCGAGTACCATCAAGGTAGCATCAAGACTTGTATAACACAACATCCGAGGAAGACCAATTCGGTTTGTACTTTTCATTGTATATTTCATGGCAAAATATCCGATTCACTTTTCCTTCGACATCCAGCATTGAGCTTGGACTGTGCAGGGGAGATCGAAAACCCAATATCCCTGCACCCCTCCTGCAAGAGCCTCATCCAGTCGGTTGATCAACAGCCCGCCAACCTCAGATCGGGGCCGTCATGCTGAGGCCGGTCCCTTTTAGCCTGCGGCCGCTGAGGCTTGCACGGTGTTCAGCAATCAACCGAGTTCAGCCATGTTTCCGGAGGAGCTTTTCGCATTCAGTCTTTCAGCAACAGCAGCAAGATGAGAGACAGTGGTCTACGCCGCTTGCCAAAAAGCTCTTCCAAGCCATATCTGTATGTCGCCATAAACTCAATTCCGATGTGAGCCTAGTAGTCCTAGTAAACAGCCGCTGACAATCGCCAGATCACCGGTCCTGTACCCCTTGCTAGCTATATGCGCATGTGTCTGACGGGTGATCTTGGTGGTTACTATACCGGCGCCATCGAGGACACTCGTGACCAATTTGGCACCAAGGGTGACTTCATCACATCTCCTGAGATTTCACAAGTCTTTGGTGAGCTCATCGGCATTTGGTTCGTGGCCGAATGGATGAGCCAAGGCAGCCCCAAGAGTGGTGTCCAGCTTATCGAGGTCGGCCCTGGCCGTGGAACCCTCATGGATGATATGCTTCGCGTATGTTAATGCAATAAGTCTTGTTACGGTCTCACGTTCTCACCAGATGTTGTGCAGACATTCCGGAGATTTCCAGCAATGGCCAATAGCATTGATGCTGTCTATATGGTTGAAGCCAGCCGCGAACTCAGAGGAACGCAGAAGAATCTCCTCTGTGGCAAGGATGCCCCGTCTACCGAGTCTAATGTTGGGTATCATGCAACCGGAAAGCACACCGGAAAGCCTATCGTGTGGACTGATTCTATCAAGTCGATCCCTATTGGTAAGCCATGAGCCATCCTATTCTACAATGACAACCCGCTGATGCCTTCAACTAGATCCGTCCAAGATGCCATTTATTGTGGCACATGAGTTTTTTGACGCCCTGCCCATACATGCTTTCGAGTCGGTGGCTACTCCCACAGAGCCTGAGCCCCAGGAGGGAGACAGGCCAAGCAAGCCGAAGCCAAAGGAGGCCACTGAATGGCGAGAGATGATGGTGTCTCCCACCCCCCCGGGTGCCACGCATGCAGACCTGGGCACTCCCAAGTCTGAGCAGCACCAGCCAGTTCCCGAATTCCAACTCATCATGTCCTCAACACCAACCAGACACTCGAGATATGTCCCAGAGTCGTCGCCACGATACCGGAAACTCAAGCCCACCCCCGGCTCAGTCGTCGAGGTCTGCCCCGACGCCTCGCTCTATGCAAGTGACTTTGCAACTCGCATCGGCGGCTCCTCAAAGTCTCCCAAGGCCACCCCGAGCGGCGCGGCCCTCATTCTTGACTACGGCACCTCCGACACCATCCCGATAAACTCGCTCCGCGGCATCCGCCAGCACAAGCGCGTGAACCCCTTCTCGGAGCCTGGTCTCGTCGATCTCAGTGTCGATGTCGACTTCACCGCCATTGCCGAGGCTGCCATGCTGGCGAGCGAGGGCATCGAGGTTCACGGCCCCGTTGGACAGGCCGACTTCCTCGAGCTCATGGGCATCCGCGAACGAGCTGAGATGCTTATCAAGGCCCCCGATGTAACTCAGGAGTCTGCCGACAAGATTCGGCAGTCGTGGAGGCGTCTCGTCGATCGCGGTCCTGGCGGGATGGGCAAGCTGTACAAGGCTTTGGCCATTCTTCCTGAGAATGATGGCCGTCGACGACCGGTTGGTTTTGGTGGTGACATTTGAGACGAACTTCCCATGGGCTATCTGGATCGACCACCATTCTCAGCTATCGAAGCTTGCGGGGCGGTTGTTTCAATGTAAAGTATACAAAAATGCCATTGTCAGTTGAAGTATAGGATGCTTTTGGTTGGCTTCGTCCCCTGACACTGCATTTATCTCTATTTCTCCTGTAGTTTTACGTTAGGGGCATGGAACCTACCCTGTATCTGGCACTTTGTTAACTTCAAGACTTCAAGGTATCCCAAGTTTAATATCAAACACCAATGTAGATCGGAGGTGTCTTGGCAGCCAACCTTGAATTTGACGAGAACTCATGTTGGCTGTTTTATCATGGTTCATGCGGCACTGTACAAGTATGCTCACGATAATTTGGTTGACATATGAATGTGTTATAATACAGTTCCCCAATCTATACCTGCATATACGTGTGTTAGGGCTAAGATCAAATTCATGTCCCTCATCACAGAACATCCGCAGACCAAATCAAAAACGCCGTCGCCCAAGTCGTATCGAGGCTTTATCTACAACCACCTAACGTAACAATCCTCTCCTATTTCACCCTCAGTATATTAGTTGTTCTTGCGTACAAGTTTCGCCTCCTCATCGCTATCATCGTCATCATCGTCGTCGTCGTCATCATCATCAAGATCTGACATCTTGTCACCATCTTCTCCGACGGCGAAGATAGTCTCTCCGTCAAGAGACTCGCGCGGGAGAGGGCGATGGCTGGATGATGATGCGGCAGCTGCGGCTCCAGCAACAGCAGCCCCGGCGATCCCGGCACCAGCAAGTCCGGCACCGGTGGACTGTTGTCCTTGATTCTGGCCTCGGTTTTTACCAACATTGGCTTCCTCGTCGTCGTCGTCAAAGTCATCCGGGACACCAATGTCGGCAAACTCGAAATTACCATCATCGTCCTGGGCGACTTCGTCACTCATGGCGAAACGGCGGTTGTTGGCCGTAGGGCGCCAGATGTATGCAATCCAAACAACGTCGGCGAAGTAGACAATGTTCAACCACCCATCAAGAACAAACCATCTGGATTTCCAATGCTTGGGGACGAAGTTTGGATCCCGGATCGAGGCGAACGCAAAACTGTTGAAGAACAAGAAACCGAAGATGACGATGATGCTGGCAAGAATGGCCCACCAGAGCTTCTTGTACATGCCTTCCTTGACATTCTGCTTACGCTCCCTGAGCTCCTTAAGCGTGGCGTTCAATGAGTTCAAGGTCCACACATAGAAAGCTGTTAAGGTACTGGCGAGTGGAAGAACAATGAGTAGAACGAAGGGAGCTGAACGAGCATTAGCGGGTTTGGAACTGAAGGAATTTGACACTTAGGCCGGACTTACTAGCACTCTCGGGGGAAACAATGAGACTGGTGATCGAATACATCAGGCCGAAGATAAAATGAGCAGCTGCCAACCACCGAACCCAGATCATTGTTCGGCCAAGGCTGGGTTTTACGACACCGTATCCCATGCAGACAATGAGGAGTAGAAAGAAGGAGAACGAGTTGCGAGCTGAATTGAGGATAGCAACGATGATAAGCATGACCTTGGATCCGATATTAGAGCCATTGCGGTTCTTGAAATCTGTAAGGCAGGTTAGCCGAGATGCTTCGGCCATGATTCACTCTGTTAGTCGCTGCGTACCATAAAAGCCCCAGGTCATAACCATTTCTATTGGTAGGAAGGCCAAGATGGCTGTGATGTAGTTCTGAACAGCCACTGGTTTTTGTTAGCCACAGATCACGAATATGTGAGATAAAAAAGCTGAAGAACAGGAGGTGACGGACATATATCATGGCGGTGCTGGTAATAGAGGACTCCCCAGTAGCCAGCGACCAGAAGGTACAGGATGGTAACACCACCGTAGAATGGAAGCTTGGGAATCTGGGTTGCAGCGAGTTCACCGTAGGCATTGCGGAATTCGGCGATGGCAGTGTACGGGTGTGAGTTATCCGAATGAGTGAACACACAATAATATCCCGTCTTCTTGATCGAGTACTTGAAAGGAGTGGCATGGTCGAGATGCACGGCCTGTGTTACGACCTTGCTTTTGGACTTCTCGTCCACATCGGGGGCAACGATATACTGATCAATGCTCGACGAGTTACATCGGCCTTGGTTGACAAAGTCTTGGTTGCACACGGCCAGAACCTGTCAGCAGAGCTGTGTTAGCAACTGTCCACCGAACCGCGCCGGCACGGGCACGAAAAATCACCTTGAAGCCATTGGGACCATCAATTTCGACGAGGCTCTTGTCCCTCCACTCGAAAATGAGGAAACTTGCCACCGCGTCCTTGCCGTCTTTCTTCGGTTGGTCGAGGAACTTGACATGGATAAAGGGATCGATAGGACCACCCCAGGTCTTTCTGTCGTACATGCCTGTATAGTTGGTTTACATCGTCAGGGATGACCTCCAACACATATTGGGTTCAAGGTGGACAAAACAAACCGGCACACCAGTGGTTATCTTCTGGTTTTTCATTCTAAGTGAAGAGATGCTTTGTTAGTACCTGTTCATAGGCGGCCGAAGGAGGGTAAATGTTTGGGCTCGAGGGATCCCAAACATACAAGAGCGAGCTCCAGCGCCTGGGCCGTCCAGAAGGACAGAGCCAGGACCATCAGGCTCCATAATAGTTTCATATTGATTGAGTATCGTAGGATATCTCCTCCAGAAATAGACGCGAGAATTGGGGGGCTGATTGAGGCGATCGCAGCTTAAAGCTTGTCGTGGGCGCAAAGGGGTAGCGACGCTCCCGCGAGCGAGCGGTTCTCGGCTGGGACTCTCAAGGCTTATCGACTGTGGGATTCGATGCGTTCGTCGGACATGTCGCGATTCGGCCAAGGTTGATACAGCAGTCAATACGGTGGGCTGGTGCTGTTGATGCTATCCGAACATCCAAGAGGCATGGGAGAGTTGCGATCCAGGTAGCCAGGGTGGCACTTTCTCGGCACTTACGTATCCACGACATGGAGCCCATTATTCTTGCCTAGAGCTCAGCAACCTTGTCCGGGTGCACTGGAGCTACTGCACCAAATCGACGCCCCGGTCCATCGAAAATCACACCCTTTAGCATATTTTAACACAGCATTGCCCCACCACAAACAAACAAGGCTAGTCCCGCAGTTGAGTACTATTCGCTACATCCAACACAAAAAGTGTCGATTCTACTACTCCTTGGCTTGACGAGATCGGTTCATGTTGCATTAACATGCTTGAAGTTGCGGTCCCAACCTGTTGTCTGCTGCTGAGAAGCGCCTCCTACGAAGCTGAGTTTTCTGCCTTGCGTTTTTATGAGAAACTGTTATCTGTCTTCTGTCAGAATACTTAATTCATAGCAGCCTAGTATTCCCAGTAGCTAGGTACCTGCTATGGATTGCTGCTTGGTCTGGCCTGCACCGATCGCTCGTCTCAATAACAGATAGCTAGGTTAGTTCCAAAGTAGTCGCTCATCTTGACATAGGATATCTAGTTTAGGGATATAGTTTTGAGCTTGTCAAGTAGGTGATATCAAAATTGAGATACTCTAATATTTCTTCTGTCACCCACTTGCTTGTGAAGCAGTATTGAACGGATCTCATTGCTGTCAACTGGACGTAGATACGAATTGACTGTGGATAATTTATGTCGAGAGTGTTGTGAAGTATCTACTTTCAGGACTAAATAAATCTGGCTTAGTCGAGCATTCTATCCAAGAATGTACTAGTTGGTGTCAATCTGACGGGCCCATGGGTCAATCTGATTCCACTCCAAAGCACAGCTAAGGTTTAGATAGCTATTGCGAAGAGGCACTCAAAAACACCAAGTATAACTCTTGCAAGCCTCTCCGAGAAAGCAATTTCAATGGCTGAAATAATCTATCGGACTTTTCGGTTGTAATAAATCATCTAGTAATTAATCGAATGAAAATAGAAGCTAATCAATCAACTGACGTTGTTTTGACTGATTGGAAACGCAGTCCAGGGCCCACCCGCCCACTAGATCTAGCATCACATGAAACTAAGCCAGCCCGAGCCAGGTTAATCATCCCAAATCTTTATATCTGCGCTGGGGAGGAAAACAATCAACAAAAACGACACCCACGACAAGCAGCCATGGGAAAGGGAACAGACAAGCTCTATGTGAGGACACACCCCGCTACCCAGCATCCGCCAAAGAATTTGCCCGTCCACTGACCAAGCTTAGATTACCCATTCCGAGTGGTCATCCTCCGACGCCTTCTCAGCCAGCGTTGGCGCAAACGCCGGCTCGCGCAACGCCGCCAATGGTGCGCCCTTCCGTCGCCTGCCCTTCAACTTCTGCGCCGCCTCCCTCCAGCCGTTCAAGAACCCCGTGTGCACCCCCGACGGCACCATCTTCGACGTCGAGGTCATCGGCGCCTGGCTCGAGAAGCACCCGGGCCAGAACCCCGTCGACGGCGAGCCGCTGAGCAAGAAGGACCTGATCAGGCTCAACTTCTCCAGGAATGCCGGCACCGACTCGCTGGGCGCCGGCCTATCGGACGGAAAAGGTGATCTAGTCGACCCCGTGACGTACAAGGTCTTCACCGACAACACCCATATCGTCGCGATCCGGCACGGCAGCTACGCCAACGTGTTCGCGTGGGAGACGGTCGAGCGCATGAACATCAAGGCCAAGCTCTGGCAGGACCTCGTCGACGACGAGCCGTTCACGCGCGCCGACATCATCACGCTACAGGATCCCCTCAACGCCTCGGCTCGGAATCTGGACCAGTTCAAGTTCCTCAAGGATGGCCACCAGGCCCAGCTCACCTCGGAGCAGGAGCAGGCCAGGCAGGAGGGGAATATAAACGCGAGCGCTCTCGGGAGCATGGGTGACAAGGTGGTCAAGGCCAAGGCCGCCGTGGAGAGAGCCCGCAAGGCGAGGGAGGCCGGGGCGGACGTGAACCGGAGCTCGGGCTTGTTGGCCAAAGGCTCGTCGGCTGCCCTGTCCCAAGTAGCGCCCGCTGCCCGCCGCTCGATGATACAGGATAAGAAGCTGGCGACCAATGCCGCGGCATATACAAGCGGAAAAGCTGCTGCCAGTTTCACCAGCACCGGCCTGACGCCAGAGACGAGTGGCGAGCGGGCGATTCTCACCGACGAGGAGTACATGCTGAAGCAGAAGCGAGTCAAGACAAAGGGCTATGCTAGAATGGAGACAAACATGGGCGACCTTACGATCGAGCTACACCCCGAGTTCGCGCCCAGAGCCGTGTGGAATTTTATCAAGCTGGCGCAAAAGGGGTACTACAAAGATGTCGCATTTCATCGCAACATTCCCAAGTTCATGATACAAGGAGGCGATCCCTCTGGAACAGGGCGAGGGGGTTCCAGTATCTGGGGCAAATATTTTGACGACGAGTTTGATGGCCCGATGACGCATAATGCCCGGGGAACTGGTAAGTTACAACCCCATTCTTTGGTTTGGTATGAGTTGCAGGCATACTGACACAATGACTTGTGAAGTTTCCATGGCCAACAAGGGCAAAAACACAAACTCGAGTCAGTTTTTCATCACGTACAAGGCAACTCCCCACCTGGACCGCAAGCACACCATCTTCGGACGTATAGTCGACGGTGATGGAGTTCTTGCGAAAATGGAGGCAGCGCCGATAGACTCCTCAAACCGACCTCTGAACGATATTGTTATCCATGACATTGCCGTATTTGTTGATCCCTTTGACGAATTCCAGAAGCAAAAGAGGAAGACCGAGTTAGAAGAAAAGGAGAAGGAGGAGATACGAAAACAGGGAGGCACCGAGGATGACAAAACTACGTGGACTGGCAAAAGAATACGGCAAGACGGCACTATTGACGACACCGGGTCCTCTCAAACAGTTGGAAAGTATCTCAAGACGAGTTCCGGCCGTGAGGAGACACTCGATGATGGAGCTGACAATGGCGCTTGGGGAGGAGAACCGTCAAAAAAGAAGATCAAGACAGGAGGCTTTGGCAACTTTGACAGCTGGTAAATTCAGCATGATATATTTCCAACCCAAAATTCGTTAATCATTAAGAGGGAGCTTGTACTCCCCGTCAGCTCGCTCGCTGACTAGCTATGTACGTATATATGTTGCCATAGTAGGCGACGCACTCATCATATTCCACTTTTCTAATGTATGCAACTCAGCAGAGCAGCGATTTAGACCATGATAGGCAGAGTTTCATCCGAGATTGCAGGTATATAGTTCATGGGAATGTCCTCCCACGGCGGGGATTCGACCCTGGCTTGAATGATCAGTTTCACAGTCCGTGCTTGATCCAATCCAGTTTCGACATAAATAGCGTCCAGACGCTCAATAATGTATTGCCGTGTCTCACGGGTGCACGAAGACGACATGCCGAGGGTGTACAGAGGCCAAACAATTGTGTTACTGGCTGATGCAAGAGTCATAAAACGCTCGGGGTCACCTCGACCATCGTCAGATTGGGTAGGGTCAAGTAGTGTCGGTCTTGGAGAGCCACCTGGTGATTCGGGTGTTCTGTGGCGAGGTGGTCTGGGGGATGGAATGGGACATGCCGAGGCGATGCGCTGCGGGGGGTCTGTGGCTGGGACAAAGTGGCATTGGCTCCCAGCCATAGCATCGCGGAAACTAATGACGCCAAAGTGCTGTGGGACACTAGCAATGATGGAGTCACCGAGCAGTTCCAACATTCTCATAGATTTCACGAGGAGAATCTGGTGCCTCATCGGTGGTACCGCTGTCCGAGCCATGCTGGAGCACAGCTGCTCCAAGATTGTTTCCTGGACAAGCATTCTCATAGTGCGCATGCCATTCCATGTTGTAGCCTGCGCAAAACCACGGTAGAGGTGACACCAGCTGCTCAGAATCGCCGAGTTTGGTCGAGTGACCTGGACGGAACGGTAGTGCCAAACCCGAGGCATCTCACTGACAAGCGTAGCGAACTCATTCTCTACATCGGCAAGTTTAGCGACGATCTCGTCCGTGTCCTTGAGGATCTTTTGCTTGATGTCATTTCGGATTTGCAGGGCTCGGCAAATGGGCTCGAACATCCGCCAGGTTGGGTCTTTGGTGTTGGTATACTGTCCCAGTTCATTTCTTAGATCCAACATGGCCTGAGGCATTGGGAGGCCGGCTTGAATGCAGGTAATGAGAACAGAATGGCACAGCATAAGGAACATTCTTGTACCAGCCTTCGTACGGAAGGGTGTGGCGCCCCTCATCCGGGTGAGAGCGGCAGCGCCGTTCACATGGTCCTTCCAAGCTCCCATAGTTTGCGGGGTTCGGCCAGTGATAAACTCGTAAGTGCCGAGCACCAACACAGCAAGCATGGTGCCATCACTGACGGCCTCTGCGGGGTTCTGAAGGGCGGCGTTTGTCAACTGTAAAGCTGTTCCGTAACTCTGGCGAGATTGTATCATCATGTCATGGCTGCGAGTGATCTTGGAGAGACCAGCCAGCCCGACTGCAGTCATGCTGGCAGTGACACAGTCCAGAACCTCGGATTTCCCCTTGGGGGGCTTCCACACGTCATAGACGAAGTCATAGTTCTGGTAACAACCAAAATCAACAGCTACATATCGAGAAAAGAAGAATGCAGTCCCTCGTTCTTGCAGCGACTGTGTCAATGGGTACTGGAGGACTAGAGACGATGTACCCGAGTCGATCAAGATATCG